CCCGTTCAGCTCCACAACGTGCCGAAGGAAGGCGAGATTCCCCGCGCGCGCAGCGTAGTGCATCGGCGTGTCGCCCTGATAGTCCGCGAAGTAAATGCTGCATCCGTGCTTGAGCAGCGCGGTCCATAAGCTTCTGATCTGCGCGGCTGCCGCGAAGTGCAACAGTTGCAGGTTGTCTAGCACTTGCGGATCGTCACTGTAGCGCGCGAGTAGCTCGCTGATCTTCCGCGAGATAGTGACGGCGTTTCCAGAGTTGCAGAGCCGCGTCAGCTCGGCGCGCACTAGCGCGATCTGATGCTCCGTAGTCTCCATTCCGGCTCGACCGCCTCTCAGGCGATCACTATTATAAATTAATAAATGCCCGCTTATTCGTTTTGATCGCCAGTTTGACGGCTGATGTCGCTGCGCTTGTGTGCCAATGCTCTGTGATTTTCTGCGAGTCGAGCGGCGCGCGGACGGCCGCAGCGCAGTGGACTTTCATGTGCTCATTTTGAACGGAGACGTCGTGAAGTACACGCGGTATGACGACCTGTTTGATGCAGCGCGAATCCGCGTTGACGCCACGAACCTAAATACGGACGTGCAGCGGTCGGTATTGCAGCAAAAATGCAGCGGCGCTTCCGGACTCGCGGCCGACGCGGATGGCCCGCATGTGCCCGCGCAGAAACGGGTGGGCACCGCGACGGAGGTGGAGGTTGCGCTGCAGCAGCGGGTCGTCGCTGCGCGCTTTGTTGTGGTCGACGGCGCGCTGCGCGTGCTGGTAGTCAGTCGAAACGCTGTCGAGCTGTATGACTTGCAGCTGCGCAGCGTGTCCGCGGCCGAATTTGCAGACAGCATTCAGACGGCGGTGCTGAAGCACGACTGCGTGAACGTAGTTGGCAAGAGTGTCAAGTTTCTGGTGGTCGAGCAAAGCGTGCTGCTCGAGTTTGAAAGGAAAGGCGCGCTCTGCCTCGTCGACTTTCCGGCGATGACGACGCTGCCTGTAAAGCGACTCGACTACTTTGACGCCGCTGCGGTAAGCAATACGCTTGCTGGCGATGTACTCTCGCTGAAGGAGCCAAACGCGCACTGCAGCCGATGGTGGTTCGTAGAGAGCGCGAAGGAAGAGGGGTTCTTGAGCCGCTTCGTGCCGACTTTTCTTGCTGCGAAGTACAAACCGCGGTTCACCAGCGTATGCGAGCTCAGCAGCGCGCAGCTCCTTAGCTACTGCCTTGCCACGCACGGAGAGGCGGCGAAGCGCAGCGACGCTTTGAGTTCGCTTAGCCCGCTGCAAGCCGAGATCTACAAGAGCAAGTCCGAGTCGAGCGTCTACGATGCGGGCTCCGACTCTTACGAGTCGGCCATCTGTGAAGACGAGGATAGCGCCGGCGAGCCTGCGCCGCTCGAGCGCGGCGCGGAATGGGAGAGCGACACGTTAGCCGAAGCGCCGCTCCCGCTCACTCGTCAGGCGGCGCGCGGAACTCTCGCGGCGACCAGCGCCCCAGGCGCGCAACGAGTTGGCGGCAGGCGTCTAGTCAATACGAACTGTAAAGCAAATCGGATGGCGCCTTTGCCCAAGACTGGATCGGTCGCATCAGAGGAATCCGCTCCGAAGCTAGCTGATAATACGCTTGAGCTTTCAGAGAATCGGCGGAGCGAGCCAGAAGCTCTGCCATCCGCGAAGCAAACTACGTCACTAGAAGGCTTGCAAATCGCAAGACAAACAGCTCAGCTCAGCGCAAATCAAAATCCGGTGGACCGCGGATGCGCTCCGCAAGAAACTGAAAGTGTCGAAAATACTGAGCGTGGAGAGGCGGCTAGCGAAGAAAAAATCGAGTTTGCGTCTGCACGTGCGGAATACGCACAAGCAGGAGCTGCTGCCGCAAAAATAGATTTCGTTGGAGAGGAATACGGTCCGTACGCTAAAGCTGCGGAGAACGGCTCCAGGGTGCCTGTGTTTTGTATAGCTGAAGCTCGCTGCAGCACGGATACAGAGAAGACTGAGCGTGTAGCTGCCTCGCACAGTGCTGAGAGTTCATCTCTTGCAGCGCACCTGACCAGCCAAACGTCAATTTCCTCGGCGTCTTGTGTTGACAGCGATTCCGCTAGCAAAGCAACAGGAAAGGCCGTATGTGAGGCGAACGACTCTCAGTCGACTGTGCCGTACGAGTCCTCGAAGGGCGTGCGCGCTGTTTCTGGCGTTGCGGAGCTGAAACTGTGCGCTACACTTGATTCCGACGGCAGCGGCGAAGCCTGTTCCCGCCGCACAAGCTTTGACAGCAGAGCAGCTACGTCCGGTTCTGCTCGTGAGGAACAGCGTGAAGAGCTGGGGACCTGCGCCTTATCTGCGAGCGCGAACGACGCCGAAGATTTGGCCAGGTTCGGACACGCAGAGCGCGTTCAGGAGCTGCGCGCAGGAGTCGCGGCGTCTGCGGAAGCTCCGCGATACTGCGTCGCGTGCTTTAACAAGCTGCCGGCTGCGCGGACCAATGGACCGTGCCGCGAGTGCAGCAGAATGCTGCGCGCAGTAGAGGCGCGGCTAGACCAGCACCGCGCAAACTACCTGCGCGACGCGCACGCCTACGATCCGATGGAGGAGCGGTGGCTCTGCTGCGCCGGCGGAACTGCACCGGCGCTGAGCTCGTACAAGATCAGCGTGTCAACAGCTAAAGACGCGAAAGGCGACGCTTTGAAGCAGAGAGGCGAGGTACGCGTGATCGACAGCTTGGTCTCGCCCGAAGCGACGTTCGCTGCGCTCAGCTTTCGCGCAGGCGCGTTCAGGTTTGAGACGACTTTGGCGAACGGCGTCTACTCGCAGAAGATCCATTCGCACGTCGTGCTGCACGCGCAGACGGACATTTACGCGGTGCTGAACGTCTTGACTTTTCAGCTGTCCGGATTGCTGCGCGGCTTGCCGAAGCTGCAGGCCGTCACGCTGGGCGACGGAGGCGCGAGCTACGTGTTCTACGACCCCGAGAGCGGAAACTTGAACGCGCGCGGCAAGTCGTGCGCAGTCGCGCGTGGAATGCAGTTGCTGTTCGCGGAAGACTCGCTCTGCTATTTTCTAACGAGTGAGGAGCGCGTCAAAATCTGTGCAGTCATTTAGCGGCGTCTCGCGCGTGCGGGAGCGCTGCAGCGGTCTGTTTCGCAGCGCTGAACAGTGTAGGTCGCGCGACGGCGGCGGTTCAGTCCGAACGCGGCACGACGGACTCCAGCAGCGCGGCGATCTCGCGCAGGCGCGCAGTCTCGAACCGCTGTTCGCTGACCTCCCTTAGCCTCTTGCACACTTCCTGAATTTTTTGCGCCGAATGCTCTACTTCGTCGGTCTCCATCACCAAACTGAGCGGCGGCTCCGCCGGCGCTCCGCTGCAGTAATTGCAGCCGCCGGGGTTGACGTACAAGTCTTGCGTGAGCCACGACTGCGCGGCGACGATCACTTCTTTAAAGTACTCGGCGTCCATGGCGAGACAGGTCGACTCGGCGCTGCTCGGGAAGCTCCAGCTGTCGTCCGACTCCGCGCTCGGCGCGGCCGGCAAGAGACAGAGCAGCGGGATCGCCAACGGTTTCCATTGCGCCACCGCTTGCGCGGTGTGGCTGACGGCGCACGCGTAGCCCGATGTGCGCTGTTGCACAAGTTTCACTGCAGTTCGCGCCAGGGTCGCCGCGAGCGACTTGTCGAACGCTGAAAGCATCGCGCCACGCACGTCGTGGTTGATCCGCTTGCACACAGGGCTGAACTTCGAGCTCGAATTCGACGCCTTGAGGTGTTGCGCTACGAGCTCTGCGAGCAGCGACTCTGTCGCCAAGTGCTGCATTTCGACTTCGCCCGTCAGCGTCTCGGCGGTCAGCTGCTCGCGGAACCACTTCGGCAGTCGCTGCAGCACCTGCACGTACGCGGGCTTCGCCATCGGCGCGCACTCGCTCTTCTCCGGCAAGTTGACGATGAAATCGACCATCTTGCTGCCGCGCTGGCGGCCGTAGGTCGCGAGCAAGCGGTTCGACTCGCTCGCCACGAGACTCAACTCGGGCACTGCGGCCATCAAACCCTCGGGCAGCAAGCAGACGCCGTAGTGCATGCCGAGCTTCGCGCGTTGGTCCACTGCTTCCGCGACGCGCGAAACGAGTGTGTCGAGGCTCGATGAGTTGTTCAGCAGTTGCTTGCTCAGCAGGATGATGTTTGGGTGCGTCTGTAGACTCGTCTCGAGCACGACGTGTGACGCACGGTGTTCGCCTAGCTTCAGAAAGTACCAGTACTTCTTGGCGCTGAGCGCGTCGGTCGCAATGTTCCCGACGAGCGTGGCGGCGTGCCGCACGTAGGTGTCGAAGCCAAGGCACGCCCACGGCGACTGATTCTTCAAGCTGTTCTCGACGCTCGTGGGCACGACAACGACGGAAGTTCCGCAGTTCGCCTCGGCGAAGTGCTCGCAAAGCAGCGCTGCCATTTCCGCGCTCGTCTCGCCGCCGAGCAGTACGAGCCCGTCGAGCTGCAACTGCTCGCAGGACTCGCGCACCTTGCGCAGCGTGCACTTCGAGAAGAGGGCTTTGCGTTGCGACGCGCTGCAGGTCGCCGCGCAGGCTTGCTGCAGCTTCTGCAGCGTGTCCGAGTTCATGCTGCCGTCGCAGACCTTGACTGGCTCCAGCGTTGAGAGACTGTTAAACACGAAGCACGTGCAGTTGCTCTGGCTAGCGGCTTCCACCAAGCAGTACAACGCGGTCTGGCTGCAGGGGCCGGCGTGGCCCGCGCACAAGATGCCGATGCGCGACGCCTGCGCGCCAGAGTCGCAGCGCTGCTGCGAAACCGTCAGGTACGAGAGCGCCGTGCGCGCCGTCTGCAGCGGAAACGTCTGCTTCAGCGCCGCGCACTGCGAGGCGTTGCGCCACTGCGCCACGCCGGCTCGCACGAACTGGAAGTCCTGCGTGGCCAAGCACTTCGGCAGCGCAACGCTGAGGGAATCGTAGAACGTGCGATGCGTACGCGCGTTGTCCAGCCGCGAGATGCCCGCTGCGTCCTCCGAGAACACCATGAAGTTCGGCGCGTTCGCGGCGGAGCCTTCGTACTGGATGCAGCCCAGATTGCGGTAGCAGTCCTTCAAACGGTACTCCGCGCGGTGCGCAGCGAAGTAGCGGAACAACGCGCCCTCCAGGTCCACCAAGAACTTCTTGATTACCGGGACGTCTTGGCCTTTGCGCCGCTCGAAGTTCATCATGTCGACAAGTGGAATGCCCGCGGGGGTCCACTGCGTGTAGTCTTCCTTCAGTCGCCGCACCACGGCCATGAAGCCGTTGCACTGGTGATGCACCAAGTGGCCCGCGGTGTAGCCGAGGCTGTAGCAGTAGTTGGCGTCGAAGTTGGTGGGCATCGCGCAGCGGCCCTCGTAGCCGAAGAAGTGCGAGATTGTCGCGAACTTCCCGTCGAACTGGTGCTCTGCGAGCTGGCGCTTCACTACATCGATGAGCAGGTCTTCGGTGCTAATTTTCGAAACTTGCACGTTGCCGTGGCTGTCGCGCTCCGCAAACAAACTGTCGCGGATCGTGGCGGGAAATAGTTCGTAGACTTTGCGCGCCGACGCGCTTAGCAGTTGCTCGGTCTCTTCGCGCGAGTGGTTGTAGATAAGCTCGTTGATCTCTGCGATCAGGTCTCCCAGTTCGGGGATGAACTCGATAAGCCCTTCCGGCACCAACACCACGCCGTGGTTCAACCCGAGCTTGCGGCGCTCCAGCACCAAGTCGGTGACTTGCCGGCAGACGGCGTCCAGCGACAAGTTTTGGGCTTTGACCTCTTCGCCGATGAACGTCAAGTTGGGCCGCGTGAGTAGCGCGCATTCGAGCGTGACGCTGCTCGCGGCGCGGCCCATGAGCCGCACGAAGTGGTACGCGTCGCGCGAGAACGAGACGTCGGCGCACACGCTGCCGATGCTCGACGCGTACGTCTTGGTCGCGGTGTCGTAGCCGAACGAGACTTCGATGAAGCGGTTCTTCAGGTCGCCGTCGATCGTCTTCGGCGAGCCGACGACCGCGGTGCGGCAGCCGTTTGCGGCGAAGTACTCCGCCAAAACCGCAGCGTTCGTCATCGAGTCGTCGCCGCCGATGATTAGCAGCCCGTGCAGCTGCAGCTGTGCGCACGCCTCGAGCGAGCTGCGCTTTTGCGCGTCGCTCTCAATTTTGTCGCGGCCCGAGCCTAGCAGGTCGAACCCGCCCATGTTGCGGTACTTCGCGAGGCGCTCGGCGGTCAGTTCGATGTAGCGGTTCGTAAATATGCCTTTAGGCCCGTCCAAAAAGCCGAACAACTGAGAGCTCGGGTGCAATGCCTTTAGAAAGTCGAACAACCCCGACACCACGTTGTGTCCGCCAGCGGCCTGTCCGCCCGAAAACACCACTGCGACGCGCAGCGGCGCGACCGGCTTGTCGCTCGCGCACGCAGCTTCGAACGCGAGCGGGCCGCTCGCGCTGATGTGCTGGAACTGTGCGCGCAATGCGGCACTGGCTAGCGGAGTTGACTCCTCCGGAGCCGCGCGCAGAACGCAGACCTTCTTCAAAATGGCGGGCAGCGTCGGCTGCCAGCGCTGCCGAGCGAGTTGCGCGTCGGAGAATTCGCGGTTGAGTGCGCCGTACGGAGCTTCGTTCCTGCTCATGAATAATGCAGATCGACCTTAAAATTTAAAATTCAAATGCAGCTGCGTTTACGCGCGAGGCGTCGCTCGGTTGCGCGCCGCGCCGCAGCTAGATACTGAGCAATTCGTTTTCGAACTTCACGTCGAACGACTCTGTCGAGCAGGATGTCGACAGGTCGTTGCACGACGTTTCTTTCAGCAAATGCGACACGTTGCGCACGCCTTGCGGAAACTTCATGTAGCTGTCGTCCGCGTCTTGCGCGTCCGAGCCCGTGCCGTCGGCCAGTGCGTCGACGCCGTTGAACCGGTCGTTGGTTTCGTTGCGTCGCTTCTCGACCACTGCCAGATGGTCGTGGCAGTAGCCGGTGCGGATCAGGTCCGCGACGCGTTGCGAGTAGTACGCGTCGTAGAACGAGCGGACGCACCTGCGGCGCGGCGCGAACCAGTGGAGACTAATGTCGTCGAACTCTGGCGCGCGCGGGGCTGGCAGCAACTTGCGCGACGGCAGCGGTCGCGCATCCACTGCGCACGGCGAGTCTGCGCCCGAGCGGACCGGCTTGACGCTCGCTCGGAACGTCACATCGGTCAGATCGTGCGCAATCAAGAAGTCATCTGAGGCGCTGCCCATGTAGTGGTGCTTAAACACCGTGCTGCTCGCGGCAGACGGCGCGCTGACGGCGTGTTCGGCGTACACCTTATTTGGGTTCGTTCCGCTCCTGCGCATCGCATAAACAGTTTTAAACTGCGGCTTCGAAAGCTTCATGTATTCCTGGCACCAAAGTTTCTTCGCCGGCGCCGATTGCTCTGGCGACGCTTCGGAATTTGCTAGATCAGCCATTTTGGTGCGTGACGCAGCGCATGCAGGATTTAATGGTGCTGCGCAGAGCGGCGCTTTCTGCGCTGTTCGCGACGCCATCGCGGCTAGCGCGCGGCGGCTTGCCGGTTGCACAAGCACTGCGGCGCGAAAGGATCGCGCGGACATACGTTGTACTCCTTCCGTTCGCTCGCTGACTCGGGCGCGGTCGCTGGCTGCGGCGCCGGCTGCGGCGACGCGTGCGCCTCCCGCGCGTGCGCCTCCCGCGCGTGCGCCGCAGATGGTTCGCCGCAGAGCGTGCCAGCAGTGGCGCCGCTTTCGCGCGCGGCCCGGCCTGCGTTGCGCACCGCCACACAGTCGTGCATTTTGCTCTGCTTCTCGAACTTGCGCAACGCCGGCTGGTGCTTGTACACCTCTTCGGTGGCGCAGGTCAGCTTGATGGTTTTGTCGATGTCGAGCGAGCGGTTCTTCGCGCAGCTGGCGAGCGTGCCGGCGCGCACCGCGTCCTGTACCGACGCAAGCCCGGCGAAGTGCACGCTGACGTTTTCTGCGTAGTCCTTCGGCGAGGCGAACACGCGCAGTGCGCTGTTCTGCGAAACGCGTCCGCTGCGTACGAGGCTCTCGAGAAAGTCGGCTTGCTCGCTCGTCGGCAAAACCAAATCGGTTATCGAGTTCGGTGGCTCGCAGAACTGCGGATCGTCCGGCTGCGATGCCTCCTCCGGCAAGTGCGGTAACTCGAGAGTCACGCGCGTGGGACCAGAGCCGCCGGGCCCGTAGTGCGCCGCGGCGCGCACGAGGCGTTCGGTCGGGACCCGGAACGTATGGTTGGAAATCGGGTACGTGCTCACGGTTAGCAGCAGTAGCGTGCGCGACCAACTCATGTTCCAAAACGCGGCGCGCGTTTTCAACGACAATAGCCGAGAAGCAGCCACGCCGCTGGGCGCGTAGCGGTTCTTGAGGGTGGCCATCGCGGAGCAGGTTGTGCGCTAAACGAAGCAAAATTAGTAGCTTCAATTATCGACACACAAGGCGCCCGCACGGGCAATTAAATTTTTGTAGACCGGCTCGCCGGTTTCGCTCTCGATATTCTTCAACGCTACAAAGCAAGACTCAGCAACGATGCGGTCTTTGTCGCACGCGAACTTCGCAAGGCAGTCTACGATGCTCGCGAACTTCAGCTTGCCAGCGCGCGAGCGGTTGTCACAGCCGAGACTACCCAAACTGATTGCCGCCTCATGTCTGCACATGTCCGCCTCCTTCAAATCTGCGAGCCGGTCCATCATTGCGTCTGCCGTTTCGACGACCTGCAGCTGCCCGAGCAAAAAGCAAATTTCGTGCCGCAGTAGCGCGCTCGACTTTTCGCTCAAGCCTGCGGCGAGCGCTGCCGCGCTTCGCTTGGTGTCCATGTTGCGGAGCTTGAACATCGCTTCGTAGCGGTTCCACAGCGACTCGCTCTCGTCCAACAGTTGTCTTTGCAGCTCTGCGACCAACGAATCGGTAGCCTGTAGTTTCGGCGCCTCTACGGGGTCGTTCGTCTTGCGGAAGCACGCGTTGTCGAGTTCGAAGTGACGCTGATTCTTCGTGAACAAGAAAAAGCGCTCGCCGAACGCGGCGTTGCGTTCTTTGATTTTAGCGCGGATTTCGGGAGGGCACTTCCGCTGCAATCCTTCTAGTGAGAGTTGCATTGTTTGCCGCACAGGCAGACAAGGGTCGTCGACGTGACGCAGAAGGCACGCGAGCACCTCTGGCGTGATCACGCCGAGCGCGTGCAGCGCCTCGCCGGCCTCGTGCCGCACCATCGGATGCTCGACTAGATTGTCGCACAACTCTATGAGCACCGGCAAGGCCGCGGCGACACTCATTTGACCCATCACATAGGCAATTTCGTGGCGCAGCAGCACGCTCGAATCGCGCAGTCCCAGCTTCAGCGTCTCGATTCCCTCAACTGAGTCGTACTCTCGGCAGTGAAACAGCGCCTCCATCTTCAGCGTGATGTCCGCAGTAGAATCGCCGAGTAGCCCGCGGATCTTCTCGAGAGGCCAGACATCCGCGCTCATCTCGGAATTTAGTATAAGTAATTACGAAACGAGCTTGCGGGGTGAAACGCTCTCCGTAATCGCCTGTGCCCAGTCTCTACTGGCGAGCAGGTGGCACACGAGCTTAATGACTTCAAACGTGCTTAGCACGATCGAGCCTTTCACGATTTTCAATTGCTGTCGCGGAATGCTCGCGCTCGGCAGCTCGAGCAACGCGATTTTCGACGCGGTAGCGCGGTAGTTTTGGTTGCGATCGACGAGCCCGCCGACCACTACCAGCGTCGCGTCAGTCAGCAGGAAGTCCGCCTCGAAAGCGTCCTCCGGCAGCTTGAACTCGCGCTCGCTGTCAGCGCTGAGGTACAACAGAGCGCAGTGCTTTGACGCGTGCAGGAACTGCAACACTTTTGCCGCTTCCGCGCCGCTTGATTCGCCTTCTGCGTCCACTCCTGCGTCGGCTCTTCCTTCTTCACTAACGCTGCCGCTGGAGCTGCCGCTAGCTTCCGCGCTGGCGCAGGCGCCGCGCGGCTCGCTTTCCGCTCCACACGAGGCCTCTGAGGCTGCGCTCGCGCTGCTCAGCTCGCAAGAGCCTGAGCTCTGCAGAGCGAGCTTGTCAGTGCAGCGCTCCAGCGCGTCTGGCTCTGCAGCGTTTGATGTAAACTCCGAGTCAGCTGACGAGCAGACTGATTTGTGCAGCTGGATCGAGCACTGGTTTGCCACGTCCATAATGAACGTCGCCGCCGTCGCAAGGTTCGGGTGAAGCTTGTTGCTAGCTTTCAGGCGAATCGCTTTGCCGACAAATGCACACGGCTGCAGCGTTTCCGCCGGCCGCCGCTCCGCAGAACTAGCCGCGAGCTGCGGCCGCAACGCAAGCAAGTCTTCCAGCTTCATGCGTGTGTAAGTCAGCTTCAGTCCGTTAATGTACTTTCGGCGCAACTCTGCGAGCAGCTCACTGCGGACGCCGCAAACCAACAAGTGCGTTTGCAGCTGGAAACGGCGTAGGAAGTGGTACGTACACGCGATTTGAGTGACTAGCGAGCTCTGATGCTTCGCGTGCAGCGGAGCGTCGAAGTCGCAGTCGATCACGATGAAGACCATCTCGCGAGAAATTCGAGCAAACAACGCGTCGCAAGCAGCCCCTCGCCGCTACGGCTGATCAACGCATAGCAGAAAATAATTTGCGTTGTAATAAAGATATTTGAATTCGCCCGCGCTCGCGAACGTCAGCAACGAGTCTTTCTAATTTCCGCAAATTTCCACTCACCGTCGGCGCGGGTTCGGCAGCTTCCATCAGCTTTCGCACTTCCGCTACGCGGCTTTGCAGCTCCGCATCCGGAAAGTCGCTGTAAAAAATAGAACCTGCGATCGTGCCGATGCAGATGCGCGCCGCTGGAAACCGCTGTGCGAACTCTGTGATTTTTTCCATAAGATTTCGCTGACTGCGCGGCGCAAGTGTTTCGCACTTTCCGCGGTCGAATCCGGCAACGTGGCCGAGTGGTCTAAGGCGCTGTGTTTAGGCCGCAGTCCGACAAGGGCGTGGGTTCGAATCCCACCGTTGTCATTTTTGCAATGGGCAAATACAGCTCGCGTCTAGAGCAGCTCATCGAGAAGCTCTCAGCCGCGTTTGCCGTGGCTTTTCGCAAGTACGCGGAAACTGCGTCCGGTGACGTCCTCGCAGCCGGGGCAGGCTTTGAAGTTCTGCGAGATCGACTGTCCGGTCTGTACTACATCGGACACGACTGCGAGGATCCGCCGAAGTTTTGCGCGCTGAAGCTGATAGAAGAACTTCAGAACGCGCTCGAGCCCGAGCAGGATGTGTTTCAGAAGGCATTCGAGCTGTACATCAACCTGAAGCGACCGCACAACATTGCGCTGCTCGTCGATGTGGTTTCGGGCAAGCTTACGCTGCAAAACTTAGCCAAGCTCGACATGAAAGAGCTCGCTTCCGAGGACGTTAAGCGACGCCGCAAATTAGAGGCCGAAAAGTACTTGAAAGAGGAGTTGATCATTCCTGTGGAACAGGAAGGCTCTTCTGCGTCGGAACCGGAAACCGCGGCCGCCAGCGCCGTCAACATTAAGAAACCGAGGCTGCGCGGCTCGTTGACGCAGCTCTCGGTCGAAAGTGGGCTAGGCCAGCTCTACAGCGTCCTCTGCGACGCGATAGCAGACGCGCAGACGGACACGCACGCAACCGGCTCAACGGACAACAGCGACTCCGAGTGCCGCGTCAACGAAAAAGAAGTCGCGCTTGACGCAGAGGTCAAGCGGATTTATGCAAACATGAGCGAGAAGTTTGTTGCAGATTTCTTGGCAGAGCTCTCACAGGAAACTCCGGGCTGAATTTGCAGAATTTAATTTGGCAAATGAAACAAGCGAGCGCGCCAAGCTTCGCTGATTTGCTCGACGCCGCCGAATCCGAGTTATCTCGGGAGCACGAGAAGAGTGCGCTGCTCAAGCTGGTTGCCACTGACCGAGCGAAGCTAAGTTGTGCGCCGAGCGCACAAGAAGACGAGACAGACACTTTGCTCTCGCAGCTCGCTGCAAACGCTGCTCCGGCGGCCGTGCAGACTGTCCTGGCTGCGGAGCAGAAGCTGACAATGGCGCATTTAAAGCGGCGCTGCGCGATGTACTAACGCTGCGTCGCGAGCGCGCGCTGCGTACGCTGAATTTGCGCAAACAGCCGCTCAAAACGAGCAGACTGCGCCAACGCCGGCTCGAACCACGACTCGCGTTTGCGACAGACTACGCTGCGCCCCTTGAGCTTGTAAGCGATGCAGTGCAAGCGCAACCGCGGCTCGCTGTGTAGCGCGTGCCACGATGTCAAGCTGCGATCCGCGCCGCGACTAAAGTTTTTGTAGAAGAAGTTGTGCGGCTTTACGCGTAGCTGCCGCACGTCGACCAACCGCGCGCACCGCAAGCGGAACGCTGTGTCGAGCGGCGCTTCATGCAGCACCACCGCGCTGCTCTCGAGCGCATCCACATCGACTTCGTCGAGCTTCTCGCTCAAAGCGGCGAGCGCAGTGAAGCTGCACAACGCCGGCGAGTCTTCGTAAGTTAACGCTATGTAGAACGAACGTGGCGATGCGTCGAGCAGACAGTAGCTAAAGTAGCTGACTGCGCGCGTCGCGGCAAATTCGCCGCTGGCGTCTGCCACGCTTTTTTGCACGTATAGGCGTTCTCCGAGAATTTGCGTTCCCAGCAAACAGCTGTGCAGGCGCAGCTGGTGCGTGCGGCCCGTCAGAGGGACTGCCACGATGAGCTCACCCGCGCATGGGAAGAACGCGCTGCAGCACGCCTTGCCTTCCGCGTCGACGAACGCGTGCAGCGGCTCGCTTGGCTTTCTATAAACGCTCAGCGGCGCTGTGACTACAATGGCGTCTTCGACAAGCGATAAGTAGCGCTTTAGTGGCCCGACGCACGCGCTAACTGAGGCGCGCACTTCTTCGAAACTGTGCTTCCACTGCACAACATAGATTTTTTGCATGTCAGCCAGCTGGTTCACGGCGTCAGCTTTGGCTTCGGCGCTGCGCACGTCGATCAGCGGCACGAGCCCGGAAGTCACGGCGTCTAGCCGCAGAAACACTCCGGTGCGACTCCAGTCTCGGTATTTCGCCTGGTACAGCTTCAGTAGGTTGAGACGCTGAAAGTTGTTCTGCGAGTAGCACGGGATGCCCGGCGGTTTGTAAACGAACGCCACCGCGCCGAACTCGGCTTCGCGGTACAAATCCGGGTCGCGGACGCAGCACTCTGCCAGCAAGATGGCGTGGCAAACCACGCTGTCTGGCTCACAGAGCTGCAGTGCGACTGGCACTGCGGCGTCAGCAATCGCCGTCTCTAGTGTGGTTAAATCTTCGTTCGGCAACGGCGCGCGCTGCGAGCAGCGCATCAGCTTAAGTAAACCGGCCCGCGCAGCCCAGCAGCTGTATTCGGGATGCCGCAACTCGAACTCCAGTTGCTGAACCGCGAGCAGCGGTTTACCATACCAGGCAGGCTTCGGCCTGGACCAAAAAGTCTTGAGCAGCGGCAGCGCAGTGCAAAATTGTTGTTCTGCGTCGCCATGCCGCACGGAAAACCTGATGAGCTGGCTGCTCATTGCCGCTCGGCCCAAACGAAGTTTGATCTGCGCGCCGCGCTACGCGTATCAAAAGCAGTTCTGCGAAACGGAACGCGGAACTGGAGCTCGCGGCGCGCAAATTGCAAGCGCAGCGGAAAACATAAAAGACAGGAAAATATGCGCTATAGAACACGAGCAAGCTCAACTTTATAGCTTCGCGAGCAACGTTGTAAGCTTCGCGGCCAGGCGCATCGAAGCGCGGCGCTGCGCAGTGTTGGTACGCCGTCGCGCAGTCCAGCTGAACGCCTTTGCCCGAAGAGGGCAACTGCAGTGGGTTTGCCGCGAACGCGACTTCGGCCGGCGTTAGGTTGCATCTGAGGCGCGCCGATCAGCGGTGACTAGTGCCGCATCACCAGTGGTATCGACTTCGGAAAGTTCGCTGCAGTCTTTGGCAGCCTGCGCGTCAGACGCGTTGCTGCTCGCGTCTTCCGCGTCGTCCAACAGCTGCACGAGCGTCTGCAGCTCGGCGTCGGAGTCCGCGGCGCCGCTCGCAATTATGTCGACGCACTTCTTGAGCAGTAAAGCGCCCGCCGCCTTTTCGCGGTCCGACACGGCGGGCTGCTTCATCTGCACCGTCGTGGCACGCGCAGTCTCGCTCAGCGGAAGACTCAGAAACAGCGCCAAGCACTCTTTCGGCGTACGCGGCGGGCACTGCGGCACTTTGCCCACGAGCTGGCTAATCAGGAACCAGTCCGTGTTGTACAGCTCGACAGCTTCTAGCAGCTTCAGAACTTGCTGCTCCGGCCAGCCGAGCGCGGCGCCAGAGAACGTCGGTTGGTCGACGCGAACAAGTGCGCCGCGCAGCGGAGCTTCTGTTGCGCAGCTCGGACACCACACGACGGAGCTGATGGAACGGAACGGCAGACAATTGCCGTACACCACGGGGTCGAGCACGTAGAAGTAGAACAAACAGAGACGGTCGCAAGCGGCGCACAGCGGCGCGTCGACCTGCTGGCGCGTCAGCTCGTCGGCCAGCGCAGCGTGTATTGGACTGATCTTGCGTTGCGAGGCAGCGGGCCGCAGCGCGTAGTTGATCAAACAGTGTTTCTCCAGAAAGAACAGCAGACGCAGTAAGATGGACAAGTCGCCGTCGCAGTACTTGCGGCACTGCAAAACGGAGAGAGATTTGTCGGGGCTCGAACGGTACAGGTCGATGAGCGTGTTGCGCAAATTGAGGTAGTTCAGCGTGCAAGCGTTTTCCGTCGTGCGGAGTGATCCGGGCTCGAGCCCGGGAAAAATATCCGCGAGCTCGCGGGCCTCCGTCTCGTCGACGGCGTCTGGCTTGAACCACGGCGTGTCCGGCAATCTCGGATACAGATTTAGCGCGATCGAGCAGTCGTCCCGCGGCGTGAGTTTCTGGCCGGCCACATGGTTCTCGAGTGCCGGGTGGTATGGAGCGACCGGCAGCGCGCTGTGCGGCGGCTCGCCGCGCCGCTCTTGCAAGTTGGTTGCGCTGTGCCGGCTATTGCAGATCGCTTCAGTGCCGAGCGAGTTCGAGACGCTCGAGCGGCAGTACGGCAGAATCTTGGCTTTCACGCGCTGCAGCACTTCGTCGCTCATCTTCGCTTTCTGCGCCATCACCGCGGCATACTTCAGCTCCTCCGGCAGCGAGGACTGCGCGACGAAGAGTAGGTCGCGTTCGTTTACGTCGCTCATCTCGTCTGTCTCAACTAGCGAGTACGGCGCGCGACAGTTGTCCAGCACGCCCTGCACGGCGGTGCGGTTGTGCGTGTGCTTGAAGGCGATGTAGGAGGGTACCGTCGCCGTCATCTTCGAATCTCTGTGCGGTGCGTTGCGCTAGACCAGCAGCGCTGTTAGACAACTGAGACTGGCGCAGCCGTAGAGCGAACCGAAAACGTAGTCGGATCACGCTCAAATTCTGCAAAAATTAGCAGGTAAATTGAGCAAATTGTTAAGCCGCAATTCGCGGCGGGGGTGGGCACCGACTAGCGCAACCGAACGCCGCTCTTCTTGGCCTTGTTTTGGATCTCGCGGAGCTGCTGTTTGGCGCGCGTGGCATTGCGCTCGATTTTGCGCTCTGCGAACGGGTCCTTCATGCCAGGCTTGTGTTCGATGATTACGTCGCGCTTCGCTTCCTCGTGCCGCTTCGAGCGGCCGCCATAACGCAGCCGGTACGAGTGCGAAGCCTCGTCGTAAGTGAGCCGACTGCGGTCGCTCTTTGGCGCAATACGCTTCGCTTTCGCGAACTTCTCCCACTTCGTGACAGGCTCGTTTGCGTGCTTCGGAATCGGCAAAGCGCGCGGCAGCGCAAACTTGCGCTTGTGGATTGGGTCCAGCAAGCCCATTACGCCCTGGTCCGTTGTCTCGCGCGGCAGCGTCTCGAGTAGCAGCCGGACAAACTCCGCGCAGTGAGCGGTGCACAGCTCGCGGTACTTTCTGCGTGCGCGCCGCAAACACTTACTCTTCGTCGTTGACGGTCTCCGCGTCCACTCCGACTTCGTTTACGCAGATGAGAGAGTGAAAGCAGTGGGTAGACGCGACCATTAGTGCTGCGGCGGAAGAGTCGGCGAATTTAAAAGTTCGAATTTATTTAAAGCTGTGGCAGCTGCGCTTTGTCTGCGTAGTCCGCGTGGCTGAGCGCGGTTGGGTTCGACTCGATGCTGTGGTCGAGCCCGCGCAGGCGCTCGCTGGAGTTGGGGTTGCGCAGCGCGCTGGCAGCCTCGCCGAGGCTCGCGTCGACGAGGAAATGCTGCGGCACGTACAGTTCGCGCGCGGGCAAGCCCGCACAGCGCACCGCAGAGCCGGGCCGCCCCTCCACCTCCGAGCGCATGTGAACCACGTTCCCGCATTCGAGACACACGTTTTCCACGCGCGCGCTGTGCTGAGCGCGATCCCACGCCGCGCCGCGCGCTGCGCTCTCCGGCAGCTCCGGGTTCAGACAGATTTGGAAGACGCTCAGCCAGGACGGCGGCCAGCGCGGGCGCGGCGCGAAGGCCTGCACGGGATTTGCGCGCGGTATAAAAGAAGTCTGGCAGCTGTTGCGGTGGTTTAGCGCGCAGGACTGGTCGGTCACTCCGTACGGCGCGCCGCGGAACGCGCAGCGGCCGCCGCTGCGAGCCTCTTCGCATCCAGACCTCTCTTGGACGGCGCAGTCGGCATACGCCGCGGGCTGCTGGCCGCCCAGCTTTTTAACGTTGAGCACGGAAGTTTGCATGTGCGGGTGCATGGCCTCAGCCTGCAATGCGCATTACATAATACGCCTTTAACGCAATTTTATCAATTTACAGAGCGAGAGCGGCGATGTCTCTGCGCGACCTCGAGAAAGAGCTCGTCGGCGAAAAGCACTGGACGCTGAAAGGCGAAGTCCGCGGCAAGGAGCGCGGGCTCAACTCGTTGCTCGAAGCGGATGATATCGACCTGACTTTCAGCGAAAAGTTCGGGCAAAGCGCGAGTCTCTCGCTCAACGGCGAAACCTTCGACGACCCGGAGCAGATAGAGCAGGCCGTCCTCGCACTGGTGCGCCATCGCATCAAGCTCAAGCTGTTCGACAACTGGGACGACGGCGCGGCCGCCGCGCCGTCGACCGCACCGGCGCCCGGCGACAAGCTCGGCGACGAGCCCGCGCCCGAGCTCGGCGCGCCGACGAAGTCGCTCGTAGAGGAGTACAGCGCGAAGTACGTGATCTCCGAGACGGGCAAAGTCGACGAGGTCGCGCAGCTCGAAGAGAAAGCGCGGAAGCTGTTCGACGAAGTCAAAGAGCAACTCGCCACGCTCGCGCTAAGCGGTTGAATAGCGACTCAGAAATTTTTCGGCGACGTCGACGACGCGCTGGTGGCTCTGCGCGTTCTCGCTCACGCAGGTGCAGTTCGCCGGCGAGTAGCGGTGCTCAAACACCGTGTCGAGACAGCGGAAGTTCTGCGCTGCGGTACACTGCAACTTACTTTCGTGCCGGGCAGAAATTCGACCTTGCCAGGGTACTGTTTCTTCAAGTGCAAATACAATGCGTACTCTTTTTCAGTCAGCCCTTCTGGGATCGTGTGCGCGTTCGCTCGCTCCGCCTCCTCCGACCGCCGAACGGCCGTCTCGAAGCTCGGCAAGCGCGTTTCGCTGCGCATGAACTCCGCGGCAGACTGCGTGCCGGCGAGCTTGCCGCTCTCGGCCGAAACAGGGATTAAAGAGATTGTGCTGGAGGACGTAAAGAGGGCGCCTCGGAAGAACTCTCCCGCGCGCGGCTGTGGCGCCTTTTTCGACTCTGCGTCATCGGCGCGGGTACTCACCCTTAAGTTTGTCTGCGGCGGAGAGTCGTGTCTCCGTTTCGCGTCGAACGTTGCCCATGATCAGCGGATTGCTAAAAGTCTACTGCGAAAGAAGGGAGGGCGAATAATCCAGTTTGTAATATTGAAATATTACACGTCTGCGTATTCTGCAGCCGCTGGAACACGCGTTCCAGGCGTTTGTACGTCCATGCCATTTGCAGTCGCTCGGCGTCCGGGCTGAGCGCGTCAGTGAACAGTTTGCGCACGCTCGCGAACGCGTTGTTCAGAGCGCGCGGCGCCGCCGGTTGCGCGATCGTTTCCTCGCCGCAGGCGTCGCACTCGAAATTCGACGTGCTCTCGGCCCCGCATTGCCTGCACTGCGTCGGCAGGCTGAAGTCCGCCGCGTAGCGCTGCAACAGAACGCGCACGCAGTGCTCGAACAGTTGCTCCGCAGCGGGCGGCTGCCCGCAGCCGCCGCACGCGTCACGCGGCAACTCGGTCCAGCTCGCGCCGCAGCTCGGGCAGACAGGCACCGACGCGTCCAGCGCGGTCGCGCACTCGGCCTTCAGCAGCAGCACCGTTTCGAAGTCGAGCTCAGCGTCTGCGGCAAAGCGCTGCGGTGCGGCGCTTGCGGGCACCGCGCACTTCACGTCGAAAATGTCCGCCAGCTGCGCGAGCGGGTAGTTGAACTGCAGCAGCCGGCTGAACGGCGCGTAGAATTGGTTCGAGCTGTACCACTGTGTGTCGATTTGGAAGTCGCGCAGCGCGCGCACCTCGCTGAGCAGAAACGCGGTGCGCTCCGGGCTCTGCGCGCTGGAGCCGATCAGGTACGCAATGGTCGCTCCGGACGCAAAGCGAATGCCCTGCTGCTCCAGCCGACGCGCGAGCCGCACGTGCGGCTGCGCGTCGTTCGCCGCGTACGCCGCGAGTGGCTTGGTCAACTGCTTCGAGATCACGAAGTCGCCGAAGTCTTCGACGGTTTCCAGCCGCGCTGCGCACGCCAGCAGCACTTTCGTGAGCTCTTCCTCCATCGCGCCGAGGTCGTCCTGCAGCAGAATCACGCGCAGCAGCGCATTGCCCGTCGTCTTCGAGAGCATCGCCCAGTCGCGCCGCGCAACGTGCAGCCCCTTCACCGTGATTTGGCACTCCGTCGCAGACACGAAGACCGCCGCCGCGTAGTTTTTCTTGCCGACCAACAGCAGCCGCCGAAACACAGACTCGAACTCGAGCTCGAGTTTGCGGTACTGCTTGTTCACCTCGGCCACGACCTCGTGCGCCAGCTGCAACGCGGTCGCGTACGTCTCGCGCACTGTGGCGCCGGAGGCGGTGATCCCGGTCGAAAGCATCAAGCTGTCAGTGTCGCCGTAAATCACCTGGTACGGAAAGCTTTGCTCAATGAGCAGCTTGGCGTCGCGCAAGGCCTTGCGCCCGTGCGCCGTGATCAGCGCCGCAATCTGCGGCGCGTAGAAGCGCGAACGCACGTAGCCCAGCGTGCCGTACAGCGAGTTCGCCACGAGCTTCACCGACAGCTGCTTGATGTCCAGCGCGGCGTACTCAGCACAGTTTTTGCTGAGCGCCTTCATCTGCCTCTTCACCGAGCGCCGCCTCGCGACGAGCATCGCGAGCAACTTCGGCAGCACGCCCTCCGGCTGCTCGGCGCACGTCGCGAGCTCGGCGGTCTCGTCGAAGTCGCGTTGCAAGTCCACCGTAGTGAAGTCCAAGTTGTGTTCCATCACGATACTCGGGTACAGCGACGCAAAGTCGAGGTACAGAATGCAGTCGTTGTAAAATCCCGGCTTCGGGTCGAGCACCAATCCGCCTGCGTACGACTGCGGAGCCAGAGCCGCGCCGCGCTGCAGGCTCGGTAAGAGCAGCTTCGACTTCAGAAACTCGCGCGTCAACAGAATCTCGTTGCGCTGCGCTCGCGCCACGCTCAAACTTGCCGCGAGCGGCGAGTTCGTCAGCTCCGCCAACTGCAGACACAGCGCAAAAGCGTTGCACTTCAACAGCGTTTTGACGAGCAACCCCGGCACTGCGCGCAGAGCGAAAAGGACTTTGCACAGAAAATCCAGCGCGTTTTTCGCCTGGAACAGCTCGCTGAGCGCAGGCTGCGCAGCGCGCAGCGCGTCTGCCGACGCAGCTGCTGAGAAGTCGCCCACCGACGGCCCCGCGCGACTCACTTCGCACCAGCTCAGAAGCGCAGCCTGCAGCTCCACCTCTGAGAGCACGTAGTCGCCGAACTCCTTGCCACAGCCGTACGTGATCACAGACTTCAGCGAGTAGTCGTACAGACCGTGCACGAGATCGCGCACGATCGCGTTCGCGTCGCCCTTCAGGTAGCAGTTCAGCGCGAGGGCGCTCGCGACGGAGCCGCGCACGCGCCCGCGCGCCAGATGCGCTGCCACGGTCTGCTGCGTCGCTGCGTCGACGCTGCTCAACAGATCGCTGACGACAGCGGTAAAGCGCGTGGGCAGGTTGAACGAGATGACAATGTCAGGGTCGAAAACGCGGAAGCACGCCGCGAAGGAGCTCAGCAAGTCAGCGAGCGTTGCGCAGCTCTCGAAGCGCTGATTTTCCTGCGACAGGTGCTTCTCGAGCAACGCACTCGCGCCCCAGTCTTGGGAAGAGTGAAACAGCAGAAGGTGCTTCGCTGTAGCGTCGTCGACGTTGCTCAGCGTCTGGTCGCTGAAGTGCGCGAAAGAGAGCGCAAACAGCGTGGCGCGCCCGTGGCGCTCCAGCGCGAAGTCGTAACACATCACCGACAGCACGGAGACGCGAACAGAATGCGTTGAGTTCACTAGGTGAAACTTCGTCGTCAAAAAGTCCACCGGTCCTCGCTTGCTTTCGATGAACAGCCACTTCGGAGCGCCTATGTGCTTCTGAAAGTTGAGTTCGGCGATCAGCGAGTCCGTCTGCCGCTCCACGCACGGGAACGCGGCGCGCAGCGCGTCCTCTCGAAACTGCAATGGCGCGTACGGCGAACCGCCGAACAGCGCGTCAAACAGCTTTTCGGTGCACTGCAGGTACAAGTAGAAGTGCGCCGTTTTCGTGACGACGGACGTGAGTTGCACGCTGCCCAAAATCCCGCTGAACCGCGCCATGCGTGCCTTCAACGCGCGCAACTCGGCGCTAGCGGCGCAGTACGCTTTGACGTCGAAATCCGGCGCGTCGCTGCCCTCGACGCGGATCAGAATGCTCACTGAGCAGCCCGACACCGGCAGCGCCGCTTTCCGGGCGCACCCGTCGGCGCAGAGCGCCAGTCCGTGCAACACTGCCGAGAACGGAGACGTTTCCTGCGCGTTCAGAAAGAAAAACATGTAGCCCTGCGCAGAAGCTATGAGTTCGTCTCGGTGGTCATTCACGAAGGGCTTAAAGCTGCTATACGCGTCCGCCAGGCTGGTAAGCGCGCCGTGTGCTGGCTGCAAAAACTCCTCGAGTGCGGCACGCTGCGCGGCTCGCTCGACAACCGGTTCAGCTCTCTGCGCCGGAAGCTCGCAACCGGGCTCCGCAGCCTGCGTGAAAGAGTCTGCACAAGCTGCAGCGCGCTGCGCGTTGCTGCAACTGGGGCGCTGCTCCAAAGCCGCAGCCGCTGCGCCTAGCTTCTGTGATGCTGTTCTACTCCGCACAGTCTCCCCCGCAGCTTCGCCGCGGGCTCGCCCGTCTCGCGAGCCTTCAGTGAGTCCATCTGCAAAAACGCAGCCTTTGCCGTTCTCCTCCAGCTGCATGCTGCGAGACAGTTCGCCTTCTCCGCGCGCGCAAGACTCAGCAGCTGGCTCGGCGTCGCACTGCGGCGACACGCACTTCTTGGCGACCACGCCTGTCACCGGCGCACGACTCGGGACGGCAGCCGACTTGCGCATCCCTGCAGCAGACTGGCCCAGTGAGTCGAAGCTGCGCTCACCTTTGAAAGTCGATAGGCTCGGTTCGACGGATCTGCGCGCATTGCTTTCCGGCAACTTCGACTGATCGGCGTCTACGCACGCCTGCTGAGAGCCGAGCTCCGGCGCCAAACAAACCTGAGTTGTTTCGTGCGGCGACAACGAAACATTCCGCAGCGCCGCGCGCTTTTTGGGGAGGCTTATGCTCGAGTCGAATTCGGTGCTGGGCGCGTTTTTCGCGCAAGCCTGTTCGACAGCGGTGAGCGCCGCGCCGTCGGCGCGCGCGCAGAAAGTGAGCCCGCCGCCGCCGCCGCAGGGGTCTAGCGGGATGGGCGTCACAAAGTCCGTGATCGTTGTGCGCACCTCCGAACCGTCAATCGCTGCGTCGGCGTCCAGACCCAGCTCCTCGTCGAGCGCAGACCACCTTCCCAAGAGGGGCGTGGCGGGTTGCGCGCGCTCCAATTGTTCTGCGCACAGCTGCGCAGATTGCTCCGCGCCGTTCGCACTGGGCGGCAGCGCCGTGTCGCCGAGCAAGCCAAAGTTGCTGTAGTTGTTCAAGCGGTGCACTACGCCCGCGTCCGTGCCGCAGTAGAGGTCTGCGATTATCTTTTCGAGAGTAGCTTCCGGGTTCTCGACCGCGGCTTCGGGCTTGTCCGCACTCTTCTTGGTCATACCGGCAGCGGCTGAGCCCGCTCGAAGCGAAACTAGATCTCGCCGCGGTTCGCAAATTACTAAAAATCACTTGGTGGACAATAAGCGCATAAATAATGAACTGCAAGCCGGCAGCGCAGTGAGCCTGCTGTGGCGCCGCGCGCGCGGCGCAGCGTCGAACGCTTCTAAATTTGGCCCGCTTCCATAGCGTCAGTGCTCTGCTGCGAAAAATAGCTACTCAGCGCTTCGTCGAGACTGCGTCGCGTCGCAAAAAACGTACCCTTTCTCAGAGATCTCCTCCGGCTTCTTCTTCACAACATTTTTCTTGGGACGCGGCTTGCGCGCCGCCTTCGCCACCTTCTCTATGTTCACGACTTTGACGGCTTTGGTTGCCGACCTCGCTTCGGCAGCGCTGCGCTTGGCGTCGCTGATAGCGCTGCGAACTGCATCAGCAATCTCCTTTCTCGACGGAAGCTTGTCGTCCTTGCGAATGATGATGGGAACAAATTTGACTTTTTCGTCGCCGATCGAAGCACGAATCGCCAAGTTCTCCATGCTCCTGCTGCCTGTAGCTCCGATATATAAAATGAATAAATAGAGAAATTGCTCGCGCCGGAACCAGGCGTCGGCGTCGGGGCAATCGTTCGCGCAGCCGCATGCGGGCTCCGCGCGGGGCGCCGCGCCGAGTGCCACACTCGGGGCAAGACGGCGCTGCCAAATTTTCTACGCATTTTTGCCTGGCGAATTACACGTATTGCGTCTTTTAAATGGAAATATCGGGCACCACCCTGCTCATTTACATCGGCTCTGGCGTCGTAAGTGCGCATTGCGCAGTCGCAGGCGGCGCTACTGTTGATTGTGGTTGTTCTCGTGCTCGTCTGCCGCCACCACAAAAAAAAGCAACAACGTGAACGCTCCATTTTCATCGAGACTAACCTCATTGCTACCGAGAAGAAGCGACTCGCGCTGCTATCGGACTACGTCGCTTCCAAGGTGCGGTCGGGCGGTCCGCAGACCGCCGCGGCGCTGCGTCGTAACCTGCCGCCCGGCCCCGTCGCACAGCAGCCGTTCCCCGGCTCGGCCGCGCACGCTCACAGCCACCCCGGCGCGCCGTACGCCGCGCCGGGGCTGCCCATTGCCGCGATGCCTGCCTCGATTGCCGTGACTCCGCCACCCGCGCCGTACGGCGTGTGCGTGCACGGTATGAAGACGAACCAGGTGCCCGGAATGCGCAACAACGTTGACCTGTGTCCGCGCTGCGCGCCCGCTGCCGCGCGCAACGCGCCGACCGCGGCGCCCGCCTTCTACCCGCTCGGCGCTTCCGCCTTCCCGACTCCCGGAGTGGCGAATGCGAGCGCGATGTCTAGCATTTCGCCCGAGTCACTCAAGGACTACAACGTGCGCGCAGCTGTCGACCACAGCGAGTACCCCGCTGGCCCGCCGCCCGCCGTCGGCGCCGGTTACATGGCGGTTCCGCTGGTGCTCGAGCGCAAGAGCTAACTCTGCAGCCTTTGCGCTATCAACGCAATGCTGTTTAGTCCTGAATAGGACTATCACATACGATCAAAACACGACGTGCAAATGCAGAAAATTAATGACGTTCACCGCGAATTCGCCTCGCCAAGGCAATGTCCTTCGGCATGATCGTCACGCGCTTCGCGTGGATCGCGCACAAATTCGTGTCCTCAAACAGCCCAACCAAGTAGGACTCGGACGCTTCCTGCAGCGACAACACCGCGCTCGATTGAAAGCGCAGCTCCGACTTGAAATCAGCGGCAATCTCTTTCACGAGTCTCTGGAACGGCAGCTTTCGGATCAGCAGCTCGGTGGACTTCTGGTACTTGCGAATCTCGCGCAGTGCTACGACGCCCGGCTTGAAGCGGCGCGGCTTCTTCGACGCCGCAACGACGTTAGCGACCGATTTGCGCGCGGCCTTGCTAGACAGAGACTTCGTGGCGCGAGCCGGAACTTTACCGCCGCCTGCTGTGGTTTTGCGGGAAATACGTTGAGTCTTCGACATTATACCGTGTTCTGATTTATCAAAAAATATCAGAACGAAAAATAGCAGATTAAGTTAACACGTTTGCGATATTTAATTAGCGTAAAACTCGTCCGACCGCCCCGACGCGCGCCGCGCTGCGCAAAGTGCAACTCTAGCGGTCCAGCATCGTCGCTTGATCAAGCAGCAATTGCTCCGCCGTCAG